CCCACTTGATTACTTCTTGTGGGGTTACTTAAAGAACCAAATTTACAAGCGAAGGTACGATAACCTTGACGCGTTAAAGACTGCAGTTAGGGAAAAGATAACCCAGATAGATGGTAGGACCATACTTAAGACAGTTCGAGCAGTTGAAAAACGTGCCCAAAATTGTATTGAAGAACAAGGTGGTGTTTTCGAGCATCTTCTTTAAAAAAAATTGTTATTGTATTTTGTAAGATTATAAGTTGATGTTGAAAATAAAGTTTGTCGATACAATTTAATTGTTTCAGATTGGAGGCCATAACTTCAACAATTTGTAACCTAGGAGAAAAGTTATTGTAAGCTTTTTTGTTTAAAATTTGATGCTTTAACAGAAAAAAATATAATATACAGGGGTTTCCATTTAAAAAAATGTTATTTTACTAAAAAAAAAACAAAATAACGACTCTCAATTGTTTTTTTTTATTTCTCATTTTTACCAGCGTTAAAAATGCTACTAGTTTGCTAATTCAAACAACTTTGTATTTTCACTAATAATAAAGTTACTAATGGTGGACACTTAATTTGGATAACCCTGTATATACCTGTATAAATATATATAAAATTGCCCTCATAAAATTATTTGACGAATCATACACTAGCACCTCATTAAGGAACAAACATCTTGTATAAGGTTCGTCTGACCACAATTTGGCTGGAGGGCAAGCTAGTTCCAGTTGTGATGCAAACCATTACCATCACAACTTAACATTAAGTATGTTATGGTAATATTGCCAGACGCTTTAAAGCTAGCTTCGTTTGGCGTGGAGTCACAAGAAAAAATCTTCTAGCTTAAGATTCGCTGAGTCTTACAGAACTGAGAGAAATGAGATTGACTTGACGTCCGTATGTCAAGAAAATTTCCAAAAGCTCGAATGTAAATCGTTCAGCGTTGTTAGAGAGGGATCTTATATCTTATTGCGTATCAATCCATTCGCATATCTCTGATCATTATAATAATCCTTTTTTGCCTACTATATTTCTTTTTTGCCTACTTTATTTTCCGTTTCTGTTTAAGCGCACCTTGCACAATTGTTTTAACAATTATTATTCCAAATCATACAGAAGACCTTAATGTGAAGTTCTACTTACGCTTCATATTTCATATTGTATCTTCTGTCAAATAAAACTAAAGAAAACTGATACAATTGAATGTATGTTATGTATGTATAGAGCGTGGCAATGTTGTCTTGGTTAGCTATATTATGGCGAAGGTGCTCACGATACTGCGACAGATTGTTGCCAAAATATACAGGGTGTCCGCAAAGTTGGGGTTTTCCTTTTCAGAAACAACTACCCTTGAAATAACAAAGGTAATGTGTAGTGAAACGAGGGCGACCAAGTAAACAAAATTAAAGGAAAAAGTACTCACTCTCCATTTGACGAGAAGGGCTAAGTACGTCTCTGCCCGAAATCATACCGCTTCAACAGAAAATGAAATCAGCTGATGCGCTACCGAGCAGACGCACCATGCCAGCCCAAACATTCACCGAAAATGTTTGTTGAAAATGTGCCCGACGGACAGCGTGCGGATTTTCTACTGACCAAACATGAGTGTTCGAAAGTTATTCACCCCATTACGCGTGAATGTAGATTCGTCTGTCACCAATATGCACTTCAAAAAGTCCGGATTATTGTCATGTTGATGCAACAACCACTCACAAAACTGCACTCTTGCTGGAAAATCGTCAGGTTGAAGGGCTTGTACACGTTGCACGTGAAACGGATACAGCCCCTCTTCACGCAGCGTTTGCCACACTTTAGTTTTTGATACTTGCACTTCTCTAGCCACGTCTCTAGTGCTTGTTGAGGGATTCTCGTCTACGCGATTACCTCTACACGCGTGACCGTAACCGTCGGTTGAAGGTTGTATACTGACCTGACACACTGACCCCGACCCAGTTCTGTCGTCGGGTTGAGCCAGTGACATTGTACCACTCCGTGATGTCGCGGCTACAGGACGGTATTCAGATATTTTTGATGTTGCAGAGCCCTTTATCTCGGTTCCCTTAAGACATTGGTGTATATGGTACTAAGAAAAATTGCTTATGTTTTCAAGATCTACACGTCGTGTAAAGGAAAACCCCAACTTTGCGGACACCCTGTATACATGTTCCAACTTCACGCTACGATAATTTATGACCTAAGCAACCTAAGCCAAAGTCATGGCGGATGTGTTTGGCATGCACATCGCGCGACGGCATCATAGAGGGGAGCTATGAGGAGCAAAGCCCGTTGGTGTAGGGGTGGAAGTGAGCTAGATCGCCGACGGCCCGCCGGTGTGGAAGGGTCTCGAGACTGTCTGATAGAGAAGAGTCATCGATAGGTCGGACACTCCTCCTCTGGACATCGTCGAGCATAAATAATGTAGTCAGGGCTGCAGCACCCCAAACGTGTGAGCAGTACTCTAGTTTAGGCCTTATCTGGGCCTTGTGTAGAATGAGAAGGTCATGCGGAGAAAAGTACTTCTTAACCCTAAACAAATAGCCTAGCTATTGACGAGATGTGTTCATGCCAGATCAAGTTCTCAGTGATCTGAACTCCGACCAGCCGAAATGAACGGTTCCTTCTGACCACTCGGCCATCCATCGATACCTGATGAACGCTAGAATGATTTTTGTTCGTCAATGTGCGTTGCGAGATATAAGGAGGTCCTCTATGGATCGCTGGTACCGGAAACCATACTGCCTGTCGCTAATCGAGCCGTCGTGTTCGAGGCTGTCCAAAAGCTCGCGATTTATGCATCTCTCCATCACCTTACTCATAACAGAAAGCAGAGCTATAACCCTGTGGTTAATAAGTTATTTATAAGTTCTATTTTTACGGACCGTCGCTGTTAGAGCAGATTGTTTCAAGGTATAGGTATTCAGTGTATAGCAGTTTGTCAGCTGTGAGAAACGGTTGCTCAAATAATAAAGAGTTTCGGCAATAGCAAATACCGGATGAGTTAACGCTCTTTCTATGAGAGAAATGACAAATAAAATAATAATTGTTTTAACGTATCTCGTATTTGTAATTTGTATGTAGATATAAACACGCGCAACAAGGTCATTTATGGAATCAACGTTCTTCTATCTATCTGAAGAAACATATTAAGTAACTCGAATATAAATACCTGTTTTGTCCGGCAATCGGAAAATTCGTCAAACTGTCAAACAAACCGATAGGGTCATCTGAGACATTGAAAAAAGTGGTACAAAAATGAGACAGTTAGCATTTTTAAAGAAAAAAACAGAATTTTGATATGAATTTGAGGTCAACGATAGCTAAAACTTTTATGTACCTTATTACGTAATTAAAACATAAACCTAATATTCGTTTAATGTTGAAAAATAGCACAAGAGTAGTCCATGCATTTTTACATCAACAAACTTTTAAATTTCATTTCGCAACTTTTGTTCGTTCCGCCTCTGTTTGATTCGGGGAAAATCGGTAAACCTTCAAATATAATCCAACTACTTATTTAGTCGTTAGGTGATTTACGCGGCAGTCTGTCTTGAAGCGTAGTGGCGTTACGTCGAATTGTTTAGCAGGTGCAAAAGTGAGACACTCTTTGGGGTAACCATGAGACAATGTTAGGTAAAAAATGAGACTAATAATTATATATTCTTGAGCAAAATGCTAAGAAAATATGTAAAAAACTAAAATCATATAACGATGAAGACCCTCATGCAGCATTAAACCTTATCAAAGAAGGTAAGATTAGTTTAAGAAAGGCATCAACATGCTTTAAAATCGACAAATCCACGTTAAGCAGGCGGGTCCATGGAAAGCACAATGAAATACAAGGCCAAAAAACCGATCTTACACCCTAAATGGAGCATGACCTTCCGGAAAAAAATAGAATTTTGGCAAAATGCTGTTTTGCTATGACAAAACAGGAAATCTTAGAAACGGTCCAATCATTTGTAATTGAGAATAACATTACAACTCAATTTAAAAGCAGCAAACCTGGACATGAGTGGTTTCGTGCTTTTTGTAAAAGGCAAAAGGTAAGCCAAACGAAGATGGAGCAATTAGAGTTAAGTAGGCGAACTGCAACCAGCGATCCATTTTTGGTTTATGCATTCTACGACCGTGTACAGGAAACCATCAATAAACTAAACTTAAATAACTCATCTGGAACATAGATGAGACCAGTTTCTCTTCCGATCCTTCTCGTATTAAGGGTGTGGCTGGAAAGGGACAAAATTGCATAGGAATATAGAAGGCTCAGGAAAAGAAAACACCTGTGTCATGGCATGCATTTCAGCTGCCGGTAGATTACTACCACCATTGATTATTTTTCAAGGACTCAACTTATGGTATAGCTGGAAGGGACAACCTGACATACCAAATACTTTATATACATGCTCGGGAAAAGGCTGGATGACTACCAATATTTTTCAGCAATGGTTCATAAAATTTTGTGAACCTGAAAGATCATTACTTATAATTCTCGATGGTCACATTGCTCATTTGGACAAAACTACAATTGAACGGGCAATCGCAGAAAACATAACTTTACTGAAACTTCCATCACACACAACGGATCTTTTACAACCTTTGGACAGGTGCTGCTTTGGACCACTCAAACTCCGCTGGAATGAAAAAACTGGCAACGTGAAAATCAAAGAAAAATAACGAAATCGGAATTTGTTGACTTATTATTATGAATTATGGAGCGAGGGAATAAATAAGGAAACAATCATTTCTTCCTTTTCTAGTACTGGAGTCTTTCCCTGTGATAGAACAAAATATCCCATGGATCGTTTAGATCCCGAGAAACTGAAAAGGCATAATGCAGGAAGTACAGTTGACCAACTAGAAAGAGGAACAAGATTTTTCCCAGCAGTCCCTTAATTGTACAAATACTAATTCAACTTTGCCTCAGTCTCAAAGTGTTCTCAATAACACTGCAGAAAATAATTCACTCTCCCCGTCAGAATTTGTATCCATTGTACCTCCAGCCGTACCTTGCACAAGCGATGGTAGTGTCGACATTGATCAAGGTCATATATCTTTCGAGTCACTTCTACTCGCGAAGGTTAAAAGAACAACTCCAAATAGGCAAAAAAAGGCGCAACATACTAGTAGATGGGTCTGTGAAAGTATTAACTAGTTCTGAATACATGCAAGAAATTATTTCTAAAACGGAAAAAGGGAAGGCACATAAGAAAAAACCCAACAAAAAGAAGAATGAAGTATTAAGTAACAGTGAAGACGAGGAGATTGGAGAGATCTATGAAGAAATTTGACATTAAAAAATATTGTGGAGAGTGAAATTGAGCCCGATAAAGATCTAGATACATCCGCTATTCCCACGAAGAAGAAGATTGTATATTACGTTGCTAATGTTGAATTGATAGATAATAATGGTTCTCCTGTAGTATCTTATCTTCGGCAACTCATTTGTGTACCCTTCCAATCCAGAAACGTTCGAGGTAGATCCTGAAGAAGTCACTAATATTTGAAATAGATCTTTCTTCTTACAATGTTCAATAAACCTTAAATTTTTGTTAATCTACATTTCTATTAGGATAATATTTCGTTTACTAGCTGATTTTCTGTGTTTCATAAAAAAATAGGTATTTTTCAATATTTGAAGTTGAGTCATTAATTTTCAGATAATGATTGTAGAAGGAAGATAAACCAAAATATGTGTGTAAAAATAAAACAAAAATGTTACTTTGTTTTATAAAGTATCCTCCCGACAAGTATTTCAGTGCGGACCTGTATTTGATCGTGCGGTCTTGGAGCACCTGATTGACGAGCCCTTTGTACTACATTAAGAAAGGCACGAGGGGTTGGTTGCACTCGATTGGGAAACCGATTCGCACAAATCTGTGATGCCGCGGCAGAATTTTGTAAATAAGAATCATGTCCACAAGTTCAGCATTTTCGTAAACATGTGCCATTTTTTATTTCGTTTGAGCCACGCAACAAACACCACTATTCACTCACGCGTTACCGACTGACGAAAAAAATCGTGATAAACGTTTCAAATTCTTTCGCTTTTTGGTTTCAGATGCGATGAACCGATAAGACGGATTATATCCGTTGTTGCCAAACACGAGCACATAATATTATTATTGAGACAGGGCGGTACTCAAACTTCTAAAGGGCTATAACTTTGTTACTTTAATTTTACCAGAAAAATGCTAAAGGAAAAAACGTTTCTTTTGATCAGATCTACTCACTGTTAAAATAAATGACTCAACTTCGAAGTCACCCTGTAGATTTTGAATCATTTTTGTACCATAGGGTCTCACTTTTCTCTAAACCCAATTTTGTCTCATAATTGTACCTTACGAGAGATAAAAAATGAGACAAAAACATTATTTTTTTCAAAAAAGTTGATATTTTATTGACAAATTAACCAACTGAATAGGTTCTATATATATATTTCTGCACATAAACATGTTTTTCTATTTTTATTGTATTGTCATTTATGCGTCAAAAAATCAAAAGTTTTAAATAATGTCTCATAATTGCCCCACTTGACCCTACATAGGCTTTTCGAAATGCAACAATTACAGAAATTTTCGTGAGACAGATGCACCACTTCCTCACTTATCTATATTAAATATAAATAAGCACCTGAATTAGATCAGTCCTGAAAGAACTAAGTGCTACAGGAAAGTGTCCGTTGTTTTGAGAACAGCCGTACAGCATCTTATTTAGCTATCGCGCAGCGCTCCCCGTGTATACGTAAGTGGATAATATGGCTAGCGTGTACACGATGCAGCCTCGCTATTTACGGCATTGAACACTAATTTATTGTCCTGTAGATGGTATCGTTCGCAAGTTGCTTGCTGTTACCAGCAGGAATGGCTAATGGATGGAGCAAATGTGGGTTATGGATGTTATTTTTGGAGGAACCGTAACGACCGCTGGTAGTTGTGTTCATGCGAACTAGCGTAACAAATTTGGGAAAAGTACATATCAGTGTTGCCAGGTTGAAAAAATAAAAATCACTAGAAGTTTTGCCAAAATATTACTAGATTTTTTATTTATATATTTTTTTATATATACTCGTAGAGGTAAATAATAAAATGACAAAATATTTGTTTAATTCTTAAGGCTTTACTTTTAAAAACAAACAACAAAAACGTACATTGGAACAGACACTTAAAAGAAACCATAAATATAAAAAAACAAAAGTAATGAAACACCAAATATATTTCAAAGCTTGAAAACGTAACAACAAAAACGAAATTAAATATAAACTATTTAAAACTACATTAAAATAAACAAATTTAAAAAGAATATATATATTATTATTGTTTTTTTATAATGTCCCTTGAAATTGGAAAATTAAAGCCGCTTTTATTTTCGGCACTAGTCTTTTACTGTGCAAAATTCCACTTATTGTCATAGTACCCAGTCGATTACGCAATTTGGTTTTGTATCAGCTTCATTAATGTAAAAAAATAATCTTTCCACACATGCGCTACTGTGAGGCAATGTAAATAAAATTTGAACAAAATTGGCAAGCTCTGGGTATGCGAGACTATCATCCCCTTTTTTGATATTGCTTATGCTTTTCCATAATTGAATTTCACCAAGCGAAAAATCACATTCAGAAAACTTCAACTGCCTAAATTCTTTATCTAAATTGTTAATGTCTTTAACTATATTTGGCCACCTATTAGCCAGAGGACCTATGCTTTCAAGAAATTACTGGAAATATGACATTTAACAAAAGTTTTCAAAAAAACACTAAACTTGTTCAAAAATCACTACATCTAGTGAAATTTCACTAAACCTGGCAACATTGGTACATATGCAAGTGGCTTGTTCAAATTTATAGATTGTCACAGCGAAAATATGCGCATTACTGAAGTTATTGAAAATGCCAATAATAAACAGACGCGACATGTATTGAACGTACCTCTCCCACTTAACACAACATGAAGAACGCAGATGCCTTCAATGCATCTAAATAAGCAGACTGTTACCGTTAATAAATAGTTATTATTTTATCATAGTCGGAGCTGTCTGTGACTACAGGGTGGGCCAAAAGTTACTGACTGATTTTAAAAATTCATAAGTTTTTCCCACGTTAACATATTTGATTTTTTTTTCAGATTTACAAAGTAGAGCTCTGGATATTTTAGAATGGAGAGACTTAATCTAATCCAGAGAACCAAAGTCGTACAATTTTACTATGATTGTAAACACCAAGAGAGCTTATCGAAGATTTTTTAATGTTCGAAACGCCCCATCCACTGGAGCTATCCGCAGCATTATTCGGCGTTTTCAAACCCAGGGTTCTGTACCGGACCTTCCCCGAACTGGACGACCACGTTTAGCTTTCACTGGAGAAAACATAGAGAGAGTAGAGGAAAGTATTCAGGAGAACCCCGAAACATCGACCAGAAGAAGGTAAATTCAATTTTGAAACATTTGTGAATGTTTCCTTACAAAATTCAAATGGTTCAGCACCTACGACCACAAGATTATGCACAACGACTAAATTATGCCATTCATTTTCAGCAATTGGTTAGAGAGGGAGAAAATTTTTTAAATCGTCAAATAATGAGTTATGAGGCGCATTTTCATCTAAATGGTTTTGTGAATACGCAAGATGCAAGAATTTGGGGAAGGCAAAATCCAAGGGCTGTACACGAGAAAGAATTACACACCATTAAATGTACGGTTTGGTGTGGTGTTACCACCCAGGGTAATATTGGGCCTTGTTTCTTTCAAAATGTGACTGTTACTGGCGAGAGGTATAAAGCTATGCTTGAAATTTTTTGATTTCAGCGCTTGAAAATAGACCTGATATGTGGTTCCAACAGGATGGAGCCACAGCTCATACAGCTGGAGCCACAATGGCATTGCTAATTGGCTTCTTTGGAGAACGTCTGATTTCAAAGAGATCGGCAATTGAATATCCCCCACGTTCCCCTGATTTAACCGCGCCAGATTCTTATCTATGGGGATATTTGAAAGAAAGAGTTTACCGCAATAAACCTCGAACCTTAAGACAACTTATGGACAACATCATAATGGAAATTCGAGCCATAAATCGGGAAACATTGGAGACAGTTATGGACAATGTCTTGGAAAGGAATGTTGTGTGTGAAAGAGAAAATGGCCGTCACTTACGCGACATTATTTTTCATACTTAATTCGAAAAAGAACTCCAATAAATATATTTTATTTTTGTAATAACTACATTAAAAAATAATAATAAATAAAAAAGTTATTAAAGTTTAAAATAGGTCAGCTTCTTTTGGCCCACCCTGTATAAGTACAGATTGGTAACTCTAATCAGCGTACAGATTCGGTATTGACAGACTGGACGAATGTCCTACCATAAAAGTATAATCAAATATGAGCCAAGGTTGGCTACAGAAAAATTGTCAATTAACAGTATAAACGCTACTCCCAGGACAGCTCCCAATCTTCACGTAAAAAATGGCTCAAGTAGCTCCAAACTTCACATGTAACGATGTCAGTTCAGTTCCGCTCTTGGAAAAAATTTAACTGTAACTATGTGTAACTAAGGTATACAATTAGCTCTCAGTCCCCACACATTTGACAACGATGCGATATGGAAATTTCTCCTCTACCCTACCGACCTTCCTGCAACGTTGCGATAACAGTTGAGAATGTTGGGATGGATAAACCTAGCTGTAGACCAGCTCGCATTGAAGATATTCCTGCTATTCTCAGTAAAATATGTCGAATAAGCTTGTAAAATTACCTAGTTTGAAAACGTATAAACATACTAACGCCAAAAAATTGAGGTATACAATTCTTCCACCTACAAACCTCTATCCCCATCATGTTGTTTTCCAAACAATTTTCCAAATACGTGCAGACCTCAGAAACGTCAAAGAACGATTAATATTTTTCGGTATTTCATTAAATTCTCACCAATTGGCGTTGGAAGCAAAATGAACTTGTACCACACACGTGTAGATCTGTGCGTAAAGCTAATACAAATTAATGGTGCTAACGAATAAGTTTCCTTTAGTTATTCGTACTGTAAATCCCTCGTATAGCTGGGACCTTAAGATTCCTTAGTTGAGACCCGTCTGGAGGCTTATGCTTTCATCTAGACCACTTCCATAGAAGCTCGCTGGAAATGCTGGAATGAATCTCGGTTCGTCGATTGGGACATAAATATCCGACCAGATGGCGGAACAAGGCAATGACAGTATAGTCTGCAGACACCGTAGAGCCGGTCGATAGCGAGCGCAAAGTTAAGATGGAGAAATAGCCCAGTCGACACTGTTATAAATTG